ACGTTTCTCTTATATTAAAAAATTTTATTTTTAATTAAAGATTGTCGTTTGTCGAAACTGTAAATGTTTTTTTTTTTTTTTTTTAAAGAAATCGTGTTTAAAACAAATATCCCCTAAAACATAAAACAAAAAAAATGTCTCGAAAAGCGAAATGCAAAAATATGCAACATAAAATTACTGACTTAGCTTCTATGCGGCGACATGAGACAAATTTCTTCCCGGCCAGCTTTTTCCTCCGCTGCGCAAAACGAATGCGCAAATGCTGGAAATCCCCTGCCCTAATTATATACCCCGTCGAAAACGTTGTTTTTAGCCGCGTTCCGTGCCGAAACGGTGTATCACAAAATATACGCTGTCGAGTCCACCAAAAGGGTGCAGCGGAGTGTGTATTGGCGGGGTGGGGGGGGTCGAGGTTGGCTGTTATATCCTCGTCGTCTTGAAAATACATCAGCCATCAGCGTTTATTTAGTAATTTTTTCTTGAAATTCGGATATTCTGGATCCGGCTTTGGAATTCTCGTCGCGCGGGGGTCGAACGTCTAGGACCCGGATCCGCGCATAGCCGAATCAGACGCGCGACATCGAATCCGGAATCGCGGGTCTGGTCTCGTGGCGGCTCGTTCGCCTATGCGCTGCGCGAAGACGGGGCTTGTCGCAGGACCGTGGCGAGGGTCCTCGGAGCGGTTTGGCTAGGACCCCGCGGGTCTCGAGCCGTCGAACCCGTCGGATTGCTGTGACGTCGGATCGGCCACAGCGCAAGAAGAAGATTCCGCGCGGTTCGCTCGTGCACCGTGATCGTATACACGCGCGCCCTCCAGGGGAGCGGGCAGTAAATTCTTGGGCACGCCGCCGAGAGGGAAGCGGGCCGTTTTCGCCGTTTCGACGCAGAGTGTCGCCGTGCCGCGATTTTCGGACGGGCGTCCGACGAGGGAATTTAACGGGACGTTTCGTCGCGACACCGCATACCCGTTTCGGCGGCGGCGTACCGTTGCCGGGCGAGGCGGCCGCCGACAATAATGGCCGGCTAATGAAACGCGGTTTAAAAAAACAATAGCGAAATATTTAGAAGAAGAAAAAAAAAAAACGGCCCGACAGCCGTAAATATTATTCTTTTTTTTTTTTTTTTTTGCGTTACCTACACGTCACACGCGTCATGACCTGTATTTAGAGCCCCTATATCTAGGCACTGACCCACTAAACGCCCGTGCGTTGCGCGCCGTGCCGTTTTAATTAATATTTATGAAGCTTCCCAGAGCCACTCTCTCGCGTGTACACACACACACACACACACACACACACACACACACGCCTGTGCGTGTAGTCGTCGCTGTTGTTGTGTTGTTTTTTTTTTTTTTCAAATGAAATTCTCTAATTGACCGCCACCGCTTAATTGCCCCTGCATAAAAATATAATACGATAATACGACGGGTATACGAGCCGGTACGAGCACAATAATAATAATATACGCTCCGCCAAATCGTTTCACTTTAATCACGACGATGACGGGGAAAACTGTTTTCGTGGCGAAAAAAAAAAAAAATGAATAATATCATCGGTCCGCTCGTATAGGCACCCGCGTTCGTGATAAGACCCCGTGTTCGATCGGCGCAACGAAAATCAGTTACACGCGTAGATAACAATAGTACGGGCCTGTAACGTTATGATTTTCTCTTGACCGCGCGGCAAAACCGTGAGTAAACTCACCGGGGGTCCGGCCTGCAAATCGACGACGACCGGCGAATAATTATAAGTACCGGGGGGGGGGGAAATATTTTTATTTATTTATATAGTCAATTAGCCCCGGCACGTTAAACCCTCAGTGGCGGTTTTCCATCGACCGGATTTCAGGTTCACGCATTCGGAACACCGGCTTCTTTTGAACAGTATTAGGTCTGGATTTATGGGCAGGACACGTTTTCGTTTTAGTTTGGCATAATCTAATCATTTTTTTTTTTCTTCTACCGTCACCGGAAAAACGCCCCGATCAGTTTGCTCTTCGTAGGGCTTCTCGTTTAACCTCGTCATTTGCAAACATTAGCTGCGGTGCGCATCACATTATTACATTGTTTCTAACCGCGGTACCTATTGTTCTGTTCGCAGGTTTCTACAGCGATCCGCATTGCGTGCACGTGAAACCCGGCACCGGCCACCTGAGCGCCACGTTCGAGATCCTGTTGAACAGCTGCGGCATGACTTCGTCCGGCGGAGCTGGCGGCGCAGTGTCCGGTTACGGACAGACGCCCAGCGGCAGTTACGTGGAAAACACCATCATCATCCAGTACGACCCGTACGTCCAGGAGGTCTGGGACCAGGCCCGCAAGTTGCGTTGCACGTGGTACGATTTCTACGAGAAGGCCGTCACGTTCCAGCCGTTCCAGGTGGACATGTTGCACGCCGTGACCGCCAACTTCTTGGGTGACAACCTGCAGTGTTGGATGCAGATCCAAGTGGGCAAGGGCCCGTGGGCGTCCGAAGTGTCCGGGATCGTGAAGATCGGCCAGACCATGACCATGGTGTTGGCCATCAAGGACGAGGAAAACAAATTCGACATGTTGGTGCGAAACTGCGTGGCGCACGACGGCAAGCGAACGCCCATACAACTGGTCGACCACAACGGGTGCGTGATCCGGCCGAAGATCATGTACAAGTTCCAAAAGATCAAGAACTTCGGGCCGTCGGCGTCCGTCGTTTCGTTCACGTACTTCCAGGCGTTCAAGTTCCCGGACTCGATGAACGTGCACTTCCAATGCGTGATCCAGGTGTGCCGGTACCACTGTCCGGAGCCCAAGTGTCCGGGCGATTACGCCCTGGCACCGCCGGCAGCGCCGACGGACATCAGCAACGATTATAGCCAGAACTCCGTGCACTCCAACGAATACGGACCGCCACCGGTGGCTGCCGACTATCCGGCGTACCCGGATCCCAGACACCCGTCCGGACCGGCCGGCGCGTATTCCGAACTGAAACCCGAAATAGTGTTGCCCAACTCACCGTCGCCTTCGTCGTCGTCGTCGTCCAGTAGCCCGCAACCGCCGCAAAAGTCGTCTCTGGTGCAAGACGACGACGACCTGCACCTGCCGCCGCCACCGTTGCCCGGCCACGGGGCTTCGTACGCCACCGTCAAGCGACAGGGCACAGTCGGCGGGGGAAGCGACGAAGACCAGCAGCAGCAGCAGCAGCATATGAACCTCGTGTCGCTGGGCGGCCGCCCCCGGTCCGTCGACATGGACAAACTGCAGCAGCAGCAACAACGTCACCGTCGGTCCACCGCCAACCCCGAGCTGGACGTCAACACCAGTCGCATCATACAGGTGGTGGCGCCGGGCGACGTAAACTTCGCCTTGAACGTTCCCAGCGCGGGCAACGGTACCGGTAACGGCGGTAGCGGAAACGGCGGCGAAAGCGTCGTCATGTCCACCCGGTCCGGGCTGTCCGCCGACAGCGTGTGCATCAGCGTGCCGTCGTTCGTCGCCGGTCTGGCGATGCTGCTGTCCGTGCTGGTGGTCGCCTGTCTGGTGGTCACGTTCCTGTTCCTGCGTGTCCGGTCCATGAACAAGGCCAAGACGGCGTGCATGCCGACCGCCCAGGGCCCGTACATGCACGGCGCCGCGTTCGAGGCCGCCGAATTCGTCAAGATGGCCAGTTCGTAGATCCCCCGCTCCCCGACAAATACCCCTCGCCCCTCTCTATTCCCCCCCCCAGCCACGAAAACTTTTCTTCTTTTTTTTTTTTCAAGAGACGATAGAATCGCATACGAACACACGTATACGTATACGATTGTGAAATATCATTTATACATATGAACGTGTGTTTTTGATTTGATTTTTTTTTTCATAGCGTACGCGATATCAAAAAAAAAAAAAATTACCAATTACTTGCCGTTTTTTTTGTTTTGTTTTTCGGACGAAATCTATAAAAAAAAAAAAAAAAACGCGTTTTTAAGTAAGATTTTAATTTTTAATGTCCACTCGACCGCTACACGCCGCCTCTGAAGTTTTTTACCGGGCGGTTTTCCCGCAAATATCGGCGTACCCTATCGACGAAAAACGTCTCTGAATTTATATTATTTATTTATTATATATTTTTTTTTTTATTACTTTAAGCACAATATCTACTGTAGTAAGCAGTATGACGAACGACGTACGAGCAATGCTCGAATTAGATGAATATTAGAAAAAAAAAAAAAACACAATGTTATTTATCGGATAGTTTTTTTTTTTTTTTTTTCGTTTGTACTACGAGACCGCGCGGAAAACGGTGACGACCGGATTTTGTATTCTGTATGTTCGTAGGTTTTTCGCGTCGATATCATAATAATAACACTCGCCGTGTGCAACATTGTAACGCGAATAAAATACGTACAAAAATAAAAAAAAAAAATACACATAATATGACGTGGAATTATTGGCTTTTCTTTTTTTTTTTTTTTTTTATTATTAATATATATTGTACCCGTTGTACCCGTGTACGAAAAGACATAATCGTTATTCCCGCCCCCCCCCC